CTCACTCGTGCCAGTACTCTATCGCATTCGATCGTGCCGGTGCTCACTTGCACTCACTCATGCCAATACTGTATCGCGCTCGATCGTGCTAGTACTCACTCGCACTCGATCATGCCAGTACTCTACTGCACTCGATCATGCCAGTACTCTACTGCACTCGATCGTGTAACTACTCATTCGCACTCGATCGTACTAGCGCGAATTAACTCATGCCTCTCCTTTGTTTTACAGTGTTTCACGCCATCTACTTGGCTTTCACAATCACTCGTACTCGATCGTGCCAGTACTCATTCATACTCGATTGCTAGTACTCGATCGCGACAGTACTCACTCGCACTTGATCGTGCCAGTACTCTATCGCACTCGATCGTGCCAGTGCTCACTTGACTCGCTCGTGCTAGTACTCTATTGTACTTGATCGCGCAAGTGCTCACTTGCACTTGTTTGTGCCAATACTGTATCGTGCTTGATTGTGTCAGTACTCACTCGCACTCGATCGTGCTAGTACTCTATCGTACTCGATCACGCCGGTACTCATTCGCACTCGATCGTACTAGTGCGAACTAACTCATGCTTCTCATTTGTTTCGCAGCTTTTCATGCCACCTTCTTGGCTTGCGTACTTATTTGCACTCGACCATGCCAGTACTGATTCGCACTTGATTGTTGTAATACCCCGATATTTTAAAGGAATTATTAATTGAAATTAATTACTTTTATTTTATTTTAAATGATTTATTTGATTTAATTTGAATTAATTGTGTTTATTTTATTTTTTTTATTTGATTTGTTTTATTGAGTGCTTAGATTAATTGTTTTATTTATTTATATTTTGTGAATTATTGATATGATGATTGTGGTGTCAGTTTAATTATTGACTGAATTGTTGGTGTGTTAATTTTTATTGGTATGGTATGACTTAATTGTAAATTCGTGGTTGTTTATATTCTTTATGTAATTATTTATTTTAATTTAAGTGTTTATTTAATTATTTTATTTATTTAAATTATTTGGATTGGACTTAAGGAAAGTTGGACCAAAGGATGTGGTCTTAGGTTTGAATGAAACCTTATTGGGTTAATTAATAAAGGCGTATGATTATTTAATTATTTAAATGAACATTTTTTTATTAATTATAAATATATATAAAATTATATATAAATATACTTAATTAATAATTGTTATGGAAAGATATATATAGATATAAATATTTATAGATATATATATATAGGTCTATATGATTTAATTAACCAATGGGTTAATTATGGAAGGTGTATATATATATATGTAATATAATATATATTTATAGATATTTATTATTTAAGAATTATTATTTTAATTCATAGTCTTAGTTCGAATAGGATTTGGATTTAAATGTGTTTAAATATACACATAAGGCTTTAGGGTTAAAAGTTTACACGTTAGAAAAATAAGAGAAGTAGAAAAAGAAGAGGAGAATGCTGATAAAGAGGAAGCCAGATTAGAGAAAGAAGACGCTGGAATTGGTAGAGACAATCAAAACATGAAGCGTCGGTTTCGTTTCGAAACCTTCAGGCGAGTTTTCTCTATCTTTTCTCCTAGAACCCATAAGGATTTCACCTTGAGTATCAAAGCTTTATTTAAATTGTTAATTTAAATCATGGTTAGAGCGAAGTTAATAAAAAATATTAAGTTAATTTTATTTGATTAAATCAAGATTAAATTGGAGTATTAAAATGATGTTTTATTATTATTTTATTTTTGGAATTGTTGGATTTTAATTATATATATAGGTGGTATATATTTAAAATCATTGTTATACTTGATCTGTGACCCAAGAGGGGTTAATTAGGGTTTATAGAAGTTTTGAGAATTTTCTGAAATTTTTCTGAAGTTTCTAAATTTATTTTATATTTTTTTGAAATTATTCTGTAATTGTTTTATATATTATTTTAACAAAATTATATAAATGTTATTGATATATATACAGTGGCGCAACAATAGGGTTGAAATCCAGTGTGAACGAGTGCATAGGAATTTGGTACATACACTAATCTGGTCCATTGGAATGTTTAATTATATTTGGTGTGATTCGGTGTGCTGCAGCGCATACTATTATCGTACGCATGAAATCTGGGCCTCTAATGGGTCTTGATTAATGGGTAGTTGATCTGGTGTGGATGAGTACATATGAGTTCATGTGAGATAATCTGGTGTGGGTGTATACATGTGAGCTTCGGTGAGATAATTAGGCGTGGGTGCATACATGTGAGCTCAAGTGAGCTAATCTGGTGTGGTGCATTTGTGTGAGCTCAATGATATAATCCGGTGTGGGCTCGCTCACAGTAACCATTGAGACCTATTATTATTCCTGTTTTGTTGCTCGAAATTTAAACGGTTATAACTTAATCATTTTAAATCAAAATTGGGTCATTCTTGAGCTCAAATTCAAGGATTTTTTGTCCTTTTTCCGATGGTACCAATTTCATTATCGGATTTCCATCATACTATGAGATATTTATGTTTCAGTGAAACGGTGTCGAAAAATTATTTACCAAGATGGAGTATTTATGGGAAACTATTTCTAACGAGATTTAGTAACATTTAAATTGCGTAAATATAATTAAATTAATATATTGATATGGAAGGAAGTATATATATATATATATATATATGATTTAAATAATCAAAGATTATTATGGATGGTATTATACATATTTATATATTATATAATATATGTGTATGTATATATATATATCATTTAAGATGATTAATATAAATTATTCTTATTTGGTATATCTGGATAGGCTGATTATTAAAGTAATGTTATGTTTATGAAATGCATGAGATGTCTATGTGTGATTTATTTCATCATGAAGTTTAAAGTTGATACATGATTGAATTGTAGGCATGGATGAGTTGCCAAATGGTTAAATATATGGCCTAAATATTTGTATGAATAAAATACATACATAGGAAGCATGGATGAGTTGCTAATTAAAACTATAAATATATATACTTAAGGAGGCATGGTTGAGTTGCCAATATATAAATAAATATATTTATAATGGCATGGTTGATTTGCCAACGTGTAATTATATTACTGTGGGTTAGATGATTAAAATATCATCTATAGTTATTGTATGTATAAGTTGGATTATGATTAGATATTCTTAAATTAGAATAGTCTAGTACTTACAGGTTAGTGTATTATTTTATGCATATTAATAAAATAATACTGGTGGAGACATGGATGATTTGTCAAAGTTTAGATTTTGGATATGTGATTTAAATAATTAAAATTATTATCGGGTTTGGGATTAAATATAATATACTTTTTATTATAATTTGTTGTTTAAATGATTAAACAACTAACTAGGATGGGATTAAGGTTAAATGAGTTTTTTTTTTTATAAAATAAATGGTAGATTGGCTTAGGAATGATTATTATTTTAATAATTATTTAATAGGTATGGAAATTTAATAAACCTATTAATGAATGTGATTAGTATAGTATATATAATTATATATAGACATGTATATCGTGCTTTATTAAAGTTAAAACTTTATTAGGTTTGGTTTTGATCAGAGATGATCTGCTTATTAGTTTTCAGAAGCCTGGTAGAGTGAACTTACTCGTAGGGTTTAACTCACGATTTATTTTTCAGGTTATTAGAGGTTTCAGTCTCGAGGTTGATGATCCGCAATTAGGAGACTGTCATTCATCTATTCATCTTGTATACTTTTAAGTAGTATTGGATTATTGGATAATGTTTTAAGGGGTCCTTGAGTTATGGGATTCCCGAATTGTAATTGTTGAAGAATCATTAAGTAATATTTATTTATTAGTTTCTTCAGCGGTTTATTTATTCTTTATTATTCATCTTTATATTTTGTGCTTGTTAAATACTTAAATTGTTTTTATATCTCTTAATTTTGTGCGCGGATTTAATCAACCCGTGTTCCGAAATTAAGGGGTATTACAATTGTGCTAACACGAACTAACTCGTGCTTCTCATTTGTTTCGTTGCGTTTCACGCCATCCACTTGGCTCGAAATTTGCTTACAATCGCTTTTGCCAATACTGATAAGAATCTCAAAGATTTCTCTTTTGCTCCAAGAATCACAACAAAAACATCATTTATGCACGGCTAACCTTATATCTTTTATGAAGCTCACCTGCGCAGGGGGACTAAATGTAGGGGATGGATTTAGCTGAGTCCACATGGCTAGGCCACATCATCAACAATGGCCCACAAGTTAAACGGTTAACAGTAAAAGGTAAGTGGTATTTGCCACGTCATCTATATAACCCGAACAAAATATGGAGAACTTGAAGACCTGAGTTGGGAGTAGGATTCGGGATTATCTGAGATCTGATGAGGTACTTGGTTTGGTGGCTAAAGTCCAGAGTCCGTCGAGTCGACACTCGACCAGATTAACATAGAGAGAAATACTATTTGACTCCCGTACAAATTAAACCCATCTCATGTTAATGGCCCACAGGTGATGTTATCATAGACATCGCCCAACCTCTCACTTGGCCTATAAAAGGAAATACTCCAAGGCCAATAGAGGTAAAGCAGAAGGGGGAAAACAACATCTAGACAGAGAGAGCTCCAAAGCTCTCTCCCTCATGCTTTCTCCATACACCTTCATTAAGGGAGTCAGTAGTGTATCAATACACTACCATCTTTATACTCTTTCTCAAGCTTGCCTGTGCTTCCACCTCTTTCGATCCACCTCGAATTCTATGTTGTCTGAATCATTCATATTTTGTGTTTTCAACATCATCCTTACTACTTGTAGCACTATTATATTAATGAACCCCCACAAAACTCAAAGATAGATGATTGTTATTTTTGTTTTATAAAATATTATATATATATATTTTAAATTACATTGAATTTCATTCTTTTGATATATTTTTTTAAAACCAAAACCACATTGTTGTGCCGTAAAAGTGTCCAAAAAGTGTCATTGCCCAACCAAAAAGTAAAAATACTTGGGGACTTATTTGGTTTATCACTAAAAAAAGACAATTCTAAAAAATTTAGAACAGAACATTATTTTTATAATATAATTTTTAGGAAATAAGTCCTATAGAATTTTTGTATAATTTTTTGATTTTTAATTATTTGTCCAAGAAAAAAAAAAAAAAAAAATTGTCCCATTTGGAGACTCTAGTCCACACTATGCAAAGAGACATTTTTCTTTTTCTTTTTATTTTTTTTGGGACAAAAGGCATATAAAAAAAAAATAAAAATAGATAAATAGCATTTCAAACATCAGAAGCCCTCCCTCCCCCATTTTTGGTCTCTCTCTCGCTCGTCCTTCTCTATACATTGCCAAGTCTTCTGCAACAATGGAAGAAGAGTCCACCTTGAAGCTAATCCTGGAGAAAGGCCCTCGAGAGGGCGAAACCCTAGAATTCAAACCCGGATCTGTTATTAGGATCGGCAGAGTCGTCCGTGGCAACACAGTGGCCGTCAAAGACGCTGGAGTATCCTCTAAACACCTCTCCATCGAATTCATATCGGGTAAATGGGTTCTCACGGACCTCGACTCCTCAAACGGCACAGTTCTGAACGACTCTAAGCTCCTTCCGATGAACCCCTCCGATCTCAGCTCCGACGACACTATCAAGTTCGGCGAGTACACTGTAATCAAGGTCGAAATCGAACTCGAAGGCCAGTGTCGGTTGCGGCGGAACCCTAGGAGGGGAGCCAAAGCTGGAGAGTTGAATGCTGTGGTCGCTGTTGCAGAGAGTCGGCGCCGTAAAGGGGGTGCGAAGACGAATTTGGCTTCTGTGAGTGAAAATTGTGAGTTAGGGTTAGGGGTTTGTGGAGAACTGGGGAATGGAGTGGAAGTGGTGGAAAAAAACCGGAATCAGCCTGGTCGGCCTAGGAGAGCTAGGGTTCTGAAGAACGAGGAACTCGAAAATGTTGAAGAAATGAACAATGTAGGGCAAATTGAGCCAAAAAATCAGAATCAACCCGGTCGGCTGAAGAGAGCTAGGGTTTTGACGAACAAGGAACCTGAAAAAGTCGAAGAAGTGAACAATGCAGGTCCCATTGAGCCAAAGAAACAGAATCGGCCTGGTCGACCAGGGAGAGCTAGGATTTTGAAGAATGGGGAACTTGAAAAAGTAGAAGAAGTGAACAATGTGGGTCCCATTGAGCCAAAACAGGGGAGACGAGTGAGCTCAAGGAGGACCCAGAGTTCAATGAAGGAAGAAAACTTGCATTCTGATTCCATGCTTGAAAAAAACTCTGTGAATTTGGGTTTAGATGGAAATAAACGTAGAGAATTGGAGAGTTCAGCTCCTGCTGATGATGTTAAAGGTAAACGGATGCGAGGGGCTACAAGAAGGAAGAGGAATTTAGAGGATGAACCATTGGAGAGTGTGGAAAATGTGTTTTTGAAGGAAGTGGTTATGGAGGGGTTAAATTTGCAGCCAGAAGGCTGTAAAGAAGTGGAGACTACAGTTGGCGTTAAAGAGAATTTAGCAAATGTACTATCAGAAGGGGTTCAAGTTGATGTGCCAGAAGAAAATGAGGGGGTGGAGAAATTGAATTTGAGACGAGAAGGTGATGAAGAAGTGGCAAGTGTATCTGGTGTCAAAGAGGATGGTGTTGAGGCCAGGGATGAACCAGATTTGGAGAAGATGACTCTGGGGGAGTGGTTTGAGTACTTAGAGGTTCATTTGCCGAAGCAGATACATGATATGACTGAAGAAATGATTTCAAATATGAGACACAGAGCGGAGCAGTTTCACGAGTTTATGTTGCAACAGAAGAATGAGAAAGATGAGGGTAAATTACCTATAGGCTAGAAAAGGACTGTGAGGAGCACTTTGTGTGAGTTATCTGGTATGTGTTCATTAAATTTGTTTTTCAGATGTTTATGTTGTAAAATCCTTGTATAAAATAATCCTACAGAGTTGAAACTGATTTTAATCAACATTCAGTATGTTTTCGTAATCATCATCATTGTTGCATTGGTTCCGATCGGATGAGTTGGTCACTTGAATTGTTTTCTCCCATTTGTGAACACCATAATATAAAATTTGTGGTTTTCTCCATGTTTGGGATGGGTCCTAGTCAATTGGTGACTGCTTTGATTCCCTGTTGTTTTTGCAACATTGTCAGTCTATGTAATTCTTATTTTAAGGATGGAACAAGCTACTCTCTTATGAAGTTAAATTACATACATAACTACATTAACAAGTTCATTTATACTTCTGCCAGTTCTCTTAGCTTCTGCCAAGGGGCTTATGTTTATCCAAGTCACATTAGTGATTAGCAAATTATCCCATGACCATGCTAGATTTACTTTATACCGAGTCATCAGTTTCAAACCTATTGGAAGACTTTGTTGTTTGGTTATCCATTTTCCAGTTGGTGGTGAGAATTCCTCTTAATTTTCTCCCTTAATAGTTTTTTGTGTTTCCTCTCTTGGTTCCATTTAATAAGTCAGCATTGTTGCAGCACAAGGTTAGTGAAAATCGTCAGTTAGGATTTGGGGTTGGTGGAGAATTGGGAATGGAGTGGGGGCAAAAAATCAGAATCGACCTTGTTGGCCGAGAGCTAGAGATTTGAAGAATGAGGCTCAAGAGAACTTATGGGAGCTCGAAAAAGTTGAAGAAGTAACAATGTAGGTTCCATTGAGCCAAAACAGGGGAGACGAGTGTGCTGAAAGAGGTACCGGAGTTCAAAGAAGGAAGGAAACTTGAATTCTGATTCCATGCAGACCATGCTTGGGAAAATTCCTGAGAATTCAGGTTTAAATGCAAATAGTTGTAGAGTATCAGAAAGTTCAGCCCCTGTTGAGGAGGGGTACAAAAAGGAAGAGGAATTTAGAGGATGAGCCATCGAAGAGTGTGAAAAGTGTGATTTTGAAGGAGCTGGTTATGGAAGGGTTATATTTGCAGCTAGAAAGTTGTAAAGAAGTGGAGACTATGGTTGGATTTGAGGAGAATTTAGCAAATGGACTGTCTAAAAGGGTTCAAGTTGATGTGTTGGAAGAAAATGAGCGGGTTGAGGATTTGAATTTGAGACAAGAAGGTGATGAAGAATTGGCAAGTGTATCTGGTGTCAAAGAGGGTGGTGTTGTGGCCGGGAATGAACCAGATTTTGGAGAAGATAACGTTGGGGGAGTGGTTTGATTATTTAGAAGTTTATTCGCGGAAACATATACATGATGAGGGTGAAGAAATGATTTCAAATATGAGACATAGAATGGAGCAGAAGAACGAGAAAGATGAGGGTGAGTTACCTATGGGCTAGACAAGGATTGTGCGGAGCACTTTGTGCAAGTTATCTTGCAATTGCTAATTGAATTTCTCATTCTTATGTTTATGTTACAACATCCTTTTGTATACAGTAATCCTGTACATTTGAAACTGATTTTAATCAACGTTCAGTATGTTTTCGTAATCATCATCATCATCATTGCATTGGCTTTGATTGAAGTAGGTTGGTTACGTAAATTCTCTTCCGCCATTCTATTCTGTAAGTATGCATTCTATAGTAGGATGAAGAAAAAAAATACCTTTTTATGCTAATTTTCATATATGACCACCATTTTGTAAGATCTGTGGTTTTCTCTATGTTGGGGCATGGGTCCTAGTCAATTGGTAACTGCCTTGACGCCCTGCTGTTTTTGCAACATTGCCAGTCATATGTAATTTTTATTTTAAGCATGTAATAAGTTACCGTGTTATGAAGTTATGAAGTTATGAAGTTACATTACTTCGTGCACAATTACTGATATCAAATGCAGCTGAGAATTTTGACTCTCATTCTGTTGACCAACGAAGGGTGCTAGAATTAGATCACAATAGTGCAATCCTAAAATGGTGCTAAACAATTACTGCAGTTTCTATTATCATGTGACTTAGTAGTGACTGTCATCCTCACATATTGAGTCTGAAATGACTTCGATTTTGCAGTTCAGACTACACTTTGGTTGCTGAAAGTATAATTGATTACTTGAAATCTTTCAATTTCTGTTTGATATGGGTTTATGATCTATGTCAACTACTACTACATTAACTGTTGGGATTTATATGCCCTGGCATAGCAAATTCCTGTTTGGATTAAAGTGACATATGTTTATGACGTTTCTGAAATATTTATGTTTTATACAATTGGTGAATTCAATGTATTATATTTGAATTCATTATAGAATTGATAGTGTCCTCTTGATTCAAAACGATATTTATATATGTATGTGATGACGATCAATACATGAATATAAATAGTAATCATAAATTGTTCATAGTCGGTAATTATGGATGGAATCATAATTAATTAAGACTTGAACTGGATTCGCGTTAAGTTGAGATATATTGCGAGAGTCGTCGTATGCAATTGCTCCCTATCACCGTCATAGCATTTGACTCTTAAGCATGAGAAAAATATAAACTCTTTGATTAATTAATAATTACTTTGATTTGTTCGGCGGATTCTTCGGGATCCTTAAACCAACTCTTTAGGTAGTTATGTAATTAATAGTTAGAGGGTTATATTTTCAATATTTGCATCATTGCTACTTGTATTTATTTTGTATTGATTATGGTTGATCACAAAGTAAATTCGAAGGCGTTCGTGTGTTTTTACACAAAATGATTTATTATATATTTATTTATCTAAATTATTATTTTTGTCAAATAAATATTTTATTGTGATCGAGTCAGAAATAATTAAAGGTACCAAAATAAATATATTAATTAAGTAGTCGGATTGATAGCTTTATTTGTCCGATAACTAATTATGCATAGAGGGGTCAAAGTGCAATATTAATTTAGAGGTTGTTTATTATTTAATTAGAGTTCAATTAATTTTTTTTAGTAGAGTAGAAATTAATTTATGAATTAATTGAATTGGGTCCATGGACCGGGCCAATTATTAATTCATTATAGCCAATAAAATAATAAGCCCAAAGGATTCTCACTTATAGCCCAACTTGATATTGAAATCATATTAGATTTGAGACATATGAATTAGAGATTGAGAAGGATTTGTTGTTTCCTTTTTTTTTATCTTTATGTTGCCTATAAATATACATGGTCTATATATATTTTTGGGGTGATTTTTGGAAGAAGGAAAACGAAACCTATTTTCTCTCTCTAGAAAATTAGGGTTTATGTTCTCATCTAATGTAGACTCCCACAAGCTTATTTTTCCAAGGTCATTTATGGAGGCATATGAGTGATTCCTAAAGGTAAAACAATTACCAAGAAGATGGAGATCCAAGGAGAAGGCATCTTGCTAAGGGATCTACAATAAGCGAGAACATTCACTTTAGAAGAAAGTTTTAAAGGTTTACTCAGACATTTGATGTAAATATTCAATCTGTTAATTGAATGATATATCATATTTTATTTTTGCATAAAACTTGTCTCTATGTGATGAATCAAGATTTATGAATCAAAATCCCTCGAAAAGTTTTTAAAACTAGCACGTTTCCCAACAGTGGTATCAAAGCATGGTTTGATTCATTACTAAAGATCATGTTTTTATCAAAATTAATCATTCATGGATCCAATTTTGATACGCATATATTTATTTATTAATGTATGTTGATGTATGAATTAATATATTGATATATATTGATACATGATGATGTATGTATAATTGTGAATGGATGATGATGTGTGTTTGGGCCATGGATGAAGCTTATAGGTTTTCGAATGTAATTTTATCTTTGGATGAATGTAATTAAAGCTTTAATTTAGCCGTTTGAAAGTTCAATGATGTAATTTAATTTTTTCCATTGTATTTCAAATTGTAAATATTTTTAAAGCCATGTAATATTCATCAAATGATGCTATGAAGCTTCAAAAAGGTTCGAAAGGGTTAAATTATGTTTCAGTAATTTTCTAAAAATTTTCCGAAAATTTTTGGAATTTTTCTGGAATTTTTTGGGCTTAATTTAATTTTCTGGAATTTTTAAAATTATTTTTCTGGATTTTCGACGTTTTTCCGGCAACCGGGGAGTCGCCGGCAGCAAGATCAGTACCGGAAGTTAGGAGAATGATCCGGTGTGACGCGTTTCACATGCGCGCACACCATCAGCCCTTGGATCTTCATCAGAGGCTGGAAGGTATCAAGTGTGACGCGGCATATGAAGACTCAGTGCGCCGCCAACCAATGGGCGCGTGAGAATCACGCGCCGGATCAACTCAGCGCCACATGGCGCGTGCCAGCGCATGAAATGCGCTGGCAACTTTCCCACGCGCGTGAAGGTGCGTGGGAACCCGCTGGAAACTCTCCCACGCGTATGAAAGCGCGTGGGAGCGCGTGACACACTCTCCAACCTCCTCCCAATGCGTGCAGGCGCGTGGGAGCGCGTGACATGCGCTGGAAACCTCCAGGAGCATGTGCAGGTGCGTCAGATGAGTTTTGAGGCGTCCAATTGTGTCTGGTGACGCGTGGGATCGAGTTACAGCCTCATGCGGGTATATACAAGCTGATGAAGGACCCTCGCGCAATACTTAGAGCAATTAAATGTTAACAGCTGAATCCATTGGTCATTAAAATTGCTTCTGTCTGTTATTTATTTATTAATGTGATGCATGGAATATATAATTGTTAATTAATTATTATTCATGCATTGGATCCATGATATTTAATTAAATGACTTGATTTATATTAATTAAATTATGAAAGTTAATTGGATTTGATTACTAATTAATTTGATGGCACTTATTAGGAAACGAAAAATTATTTTTGTAATTATTTTTAAAGTGTGCTTCAAATTAAACATTAGCGAATCATTTAAATGTCCAAATATTTTCTAAATTTAATTGGATTAAAATCAAGACGTTTTGCATGCATTATATCATGTAAATGAATAAATTCAAAACCCTAATTATTAATGATTAAAAATTGAGTGGGAGCGGGAATTTTTATACATTACCCCATGGCCTTCGTTATTAAAACAATTGTAATTAGATCTTAAAAAATAAGGCTCCACGCATGATTTAAAGAGTCTTAATATTACAAGAATGGTTGTCTCATGAAAATAAAATTATTAAATGTTCATTGTAATTAGATCTTTAAAAATAAGGCCCTACGCATGATTTAAAGAGTCTTGATTATAATGACAAGATATTTAATGTTTTATTTTTCATTAGAGTTTTAATAACGTTATACACTCAATCTAAAATCAATA